ATTTCTCCAGCCCCATACCTTCATCTTCTAAGTGTTAGGGTTAGAGGCATCCACTACTATGCCCAGTTTATAATTCCTTCCCTTTTTTTTCTGTTCCATTGATCTAGTGAAGGAAATACTATATATTTTAGTGGGAACTAATGTAGCCTCTGGAGTCAGATTGGCTTGTGTTCCAGCTTCCTCATGTGCTAAAAAGAGACAATCACAGTATGTATTTCATATGGCTGCTGTGAAGAGCAGATGAGATAATGCATATGAGGCACTTATCACAGTACTTGGCACCTAGCAATCAACTGGAGAATGTCTACTGTTTTGGTGATCCCTATCTGCTCATTCCTATGCTGGCAAAACAACCAGGGAGACTACCCAGAATATAGTTTGGAGTTGGATGGAACAGCAACACTTCTTACTATCTCATGACCTTAGCCAAATTACTTACCTTTTTTTTTTTTTTTTTTTTTTTTTTTTTTTTTTTGATGATTAATTTAGGTTTTCAGCTTGATTAGAGATATTCCTGATTTCTGATGCTTAAGAAATCCTTATGTGTGTCTTAGTTTCTTCACTCACATATGAAGATATCAGAATACCTACTGGTCAGGTTTGATGGCACATGCCTGTAATCCCAGCACTTGGGAGGTAGAGGCAGGCAGATCTCTGTGAGTTTGAGGCTAACCTATACAGAGAGTTCCAGGCCAGCCAGAGCTACACTGGAGGCCCTGATTCAAACAAACAAATAAACAAAATAAAACAAAACTACCTACTGCATGGGGGAGGAGTGGGTGGTGAATATGATCACAATACATTGTATTAAATTCTCAAATAATTAATGAAAAAACATTTAGAATACCTACTAGAGCATGTTGTGCACCTTAAACATAGTGTTGCACAGGCTGTGACACATGCTAGACCTTCAGAGAATGATTATTTCTTTTGCTGATGATCATTATTAAATCCTTACAATTATCTGTCTCTATATGTAGTGGGGCAAACCCTCATTATATGGAATTTTTCTGGGGAATGACAGGACTACTGTGGGTGAATAAATACAATTTCTGGTTGTGCAAAGCCCATGTAATATGCCAGCATTTCAAAGTCACTGTTCTATTTTTTAAATTTTTAAGTGTATTATTTATATTTTAGATGTATGAGTGTATTGTCTGCATGTATGTAAGTTTATCCATGTTGTGTAATTCCTGTGGAGGTCAGAAGAGGGTGTAAGATCCCCTGGAACTGGAGTTATGGATGATTGTTAGCCACCATGTGAGTGCTGGGAATTGAACCTGGGTCTTCTACAAAAGAAGCCAGTACTCTTTTTAAAAAATATTTTATTTATTATTTTTATTTTATGTGTATGCATGTATTGCCTGCATGTAGGTAAGTGCACCCATGTCATGCAGTGCCTGTGGAGGACAGAAGAGAATGTTGGATCCCCTGGAACTGGAGTTATGGACAATTGTTAGCTGCCATGTGGGTGTCTGGATTCGAACCTGGGTCTTCTGCAAGAACAGTGAGTGTTCTTAACTGCTGTGCTATCTCTTCGGCCCCAAGAAGACAGTACTCTTAACTGCTGAGCCATTTCTCCATCTCCTAGCTGGTGAGGTTTTGATAGAGCCTGGAGGGTGTGGGGATGGGATGAGGATAGGGTGGCCTTTTAAGGTCATATGTAGATATTTACATTTATCCTAAAAATGCTTTTTTGTTTTTAAACTTCTTTTTAAACATTTATGTGTGTGTGTGTGTGTGTGTGTGTGTGTGTGTGTGTGTGTATGGCACAGTACATTGTGAAGGTCAAAGGACAATTAATGGGAGTTGGTATTCTTTCCATCATGTGGTTTCCAGGGATCAGAGATCAAACTCAGGACAACAGGTTTGATGCACTGAGCCATCTCAGGGACCCCTGTCTTTGAGACAGGATCTCATTATGTAAGTCTGGCTAGCCTTGAACTGCTATGTAGACCAGATTGGCCTTGATCTCACAAAGGTTTTCCTCCTTCTGCCTCCCAAATACTGGTTTAAAGGTGTGCATCACCATGCTGGCCTCATCTTTCTTTCTTTTTTTAAAAAATATTTTATTTATTTTTATTTTATGTGTATGTGTGTATTGCCTGCATGTAGCCAAGTGTACCCGCAGAGGACAGAAGAGGCTGTCAGATCGCCTGGAACTGCAGTTACGGACAGTTGCTAGTTGCCATGTGGGTGCTGGGATTTGAACCTGGGTTTTCTGCAAGAACAGTCAGTGTTCTTAACAGCTGAGCCGTCTCTCCAGCCCCCCTTTTTAAAAACAAAAAAACATTTTACAGGCCAGGCGTGGTGGTGCACACCTTTAATCCTAGCACTCGGGAGGCAGAGGCAGGTGGATCTCTGTGAGTTCAAGGCCAGCCTGGTCTACATAGCGAGTTCCAGGTCAGCTGGAGCTACAGGGAGACTCTGTCTCAAAAAAGATAAAAAAAAAAAAAAAAGTCAACTAATTCTATTAAGCTTATAATGAAAGGCAGCCATCCCTTTTCTCTTACCTCCATATCCCTGCTTCTCTGTATCACTGCTCTCAGGTCTCTAGGCTGGTGCTTCCATGATTTACTTCTATATTTCTAAATTAACATATAATTATTTAATTATTTTTCCTTTCTTCCTTCCATTCTTATTATCCTCTCTCTGTCTTTTCAGACAGGGTTTCCCTGTAGCAAATCCTAATCTTAAATTAAATTAACAATATTTATATTATTATAGCTGTGAAAACTGAGTTCAGGAGTGCCAAGCGTTCAGTTCAGTGCCAACCTGGGATATATGGTGAGTACAAGACCATCCTAAGTCAAGGCTACAGAGCAAGACAATGGAAGGAAGGAAGGAAGGAGGGAAGGAGGGAAGGAGGGAAGGAGGGATGGAGGGAGGGAGGGAGGGAGGGAGGGGGAAGGAAATGGTTTGGGGGATTAATTCAGGAACTTGTTCCAAGACTGTAGATCTGTAAAAATTGTTTTTATTAATTAACATCAAGGACATAGGATTAAGAAAATTTATTCTATAAAATCACATACTACAACTCTGCTATTTGAAATCAATGAAGGGACTGTTCCCTGTTGCCTGGAGGTCTGAATTACTCTGACAAGGAAAAATAGCCTGGATTTCCAACTCAGGTGCAAAGCTTTAAACAACAGATCTTTGAACAGTGCATTCTACCGTCATCTTAACTTTGTAGTTTCCAAATGGACCCTCAATCCACTAAACCTCAGTTTTTATTTATTTATTTTTAAAACATGATCTCCCTATGTAGCTTAAACTTGCAGCAATCCTCCTGCCTCCTGAGTCTTGGGATTGTAGGCATGTACTGTTATGTATGGCTTAGCCCAACTTTTTGATTCATTCACTTAGCCTTATATTCCTTAAACCTAACAAAATTCTTGCTTCAAGCTAGGTTTGATGGCACAAGCCTGTAATCCTAGCACTTGGGAAGATCAAGACCTCAAGGTCATTCTGAGCTGTATATTGAGTCCCATGCCAGCCTAGGAAACATGAGACTGTCTTAAAAGCAAATAAACAGGGCTGGAGAAATGGCTCAGCTCAGTTTGGTTCCTAGCACCCACATCAGACAACTCACAACTGCCTATAACTCCAGCTCCAGAGATCTGATACCCTCTTCTGGCCTCTGTGGGTACCATTAACGCACATGGCTATACATTTACCTGTGCATACACTTACACACACACACACACACACACACACACACACACACACACATATACATAGAAAATAAGTCTTGGCCAGGTGTAGTGGCAGAGGACTTTAATCCCAGAACTCTGCAGGCAGAGGCAGGCAGATCTCTGTGAGTTCAAGCCAGCTGGGGCTATAGGGAAAACCTGACTCAAAAAAAGGCCCAAAAAAAAAAAAAGTCTTCCCAGGTTTGGTGGCAGAACACTCAGGGGGCAAAGGCAGGTGGATTTCTTTGAGTTCAAAACCAGTTTGGTCTACATATGGAGTTCTAGGCTAGCTGTTGCTGTCTAAAAAATCAAAACAAAAACAAATCAAAAACAAACAAACCCAAAACCCCTCAAAAACCAAACCAACCGAAAAAAACCCCTCTTGCTTTAAAGCCTAATTCTACCTAGGGCCTAAGGCCAACCTTTAGCCATATTCTGCAATGACTATTTCTTCCTTTGCTGAACTGCCCAAAGTTCCTCTGGTATGCAGTTTATTGCAGCAAGTTAATAAACTTAACTCTGTCCAATTTCAGATGAATTCCAAGTAGTGTTTATTGGACAAGTGTTTATCAGTTTTGTTTCCTTTCTTTTATTACTCTTTGTTTTCCCTTAAGTTGATAATTGCTTGAAATTTTATCTTTTTTCTTTAAAAGTTTGGGTTCTGGGAAACAAGGTCTTTTGTGACTCAGGTTAGCCTTGAATTCCCAAAGCTTCTTTTTGCCTCTTAAGTGCTGGGATTGACAGACATGCACAGCTACAACTGGCTTTTTTTTTTTTTATACTGTTTTTGAAATAGGTCTCACAATGGCCTTGGCTGGTCTGGAATTTGCTATGTAGACTGGCCTGGAATTTACACTAAGCCTGCCTCTGGAGTGCTGGGATTATAAGTATGTGACACCACAACCAGGAACACCCTGATTTCTTTCTTTTTCTGATTTCTTTTTTTAAGGCAGGGTCTCATGTACCCCAGGCTGGTCTCAAATCTGAGAGCTCAAGACCATCCTAGGCAACTTGGTAAGTCCCTGTTTCATAATAAAAAGGATTCGGTGATAGAGCACCTGCCTAGCAGATGTGATCCTTAGTGTGTTTGTTGAGTGGGTGAGGGGAATGCTTGAAAAATGAGTGGGGTTTTTGTGATGAAGCACTGATTTTTAAGGGGGATGATATTGCATTCCCAAATTATTGCAATGTTTAGGAGTATTCTCAAATCTTCCAAGAGTCCTACACCAGCTTAGAACTGGGTCCCCAGGGAAAAAAGCAGCATAACAGCTCCAGACGCAGCCTGCGATTTCTGAAAGGCGATGTATAACCCTGCCTGGATCAGCTGCGGCCGGAAGCTCACCAGGCGTAGCCCTGAGAACTACAATTCCCAAAAGGCAGCGCGGAGGAAGAGCAGTAGTCAAAGAGGACTTCCGGATGCTGCTCGTGCTTGCTCTGCGACGCCTCCGAGAGGTACGCCTAGGTGGCGGGCTGAGTGGTGAGGTCGAGGAGGATGGGAGTGACCGGGAATGAGAGTCAGATGTAGAGGGAGGGTGGCAGGATGGAAAGGATTCCTAGCTTTGCTTTCTCTTCCCCCAGAGACCATGACGAAGTTAGCCCAGTGGCTTTGGGGACTGACGCTCCTGGGCTCAGCCTGGGCGGCCCTGACCATGGGAGCTCTAGGCCTGGAACTGCCTTTCCCCTGCCAGGAGGTCCTGTGGCCATTGCCTGCTTACTTGCTAGTGTCCGCCGGCTGCTATGCACTGGGCACTGTGGGCTATCGCGTGGCCACTTTTCACGACTGTGAGGACGCCGCCCGAGAGCTGCAGAGCCAGATCCAGGAGGCCCGAGCCGATTTAGTCCGCAGGGGGCTACGCTTCTGACACCTTAACCCATTCCAGCCTGGACAGCCCTCTTAATTTCCGATTAAAGAGCAGCTTTATTTTCTAACCTTGCCTAGTTGTGTATGGAGGACAGGATTTGGGGATTCTGTGTACCAGCAGTCAGGAAGTGAGAAGTAGACGAACAACTTTCCAGAGTTTTCTGCGTTTTGTCATGCCCCCTCCCACACCTTTTTATTTTTATTTTTTCGAGACAGAGCAAAGACTGTCTCAAGATCTTTTTTCTTTTGGATGTCACGTATCCCAGGCTGGCCTGGGACCCAGCTATGTGGCTGAGGGTCTCTTGTCCTCAGCTCCCATTTCTTACGGTGGTTTTAGCCTGTAATCCCAGGCTAAACCATCAATGACAGTTTATATGGTGCTAGGGATTGAACCAAGGGCTTCAAACATGTAAGCACTCTACCAGCTGAGCTACATCTCCAAACTTGTGTTTTTGAGATGATTTTACTATGTACAGACTGGTCTAGAACTTGCTGTGTTGCCCAGGCTGGCCTCAGTCTTTCGATCCTCCTGCTTTAGCCTCTTAAGTGCTAAGATTACAGACTTCTAACACCAAGCTAGGCAAGAAGTACTTAAGCCTAACTTCCATTCCTCATAACTTGCAAGTTTTCTTTTTAAGGTCTTCCTGGGTCTTTCCAACTAATAGTCTTTCAAATACTTTTTCTGAGCTTAGTAACTAGTGACCCTTTATCAAACCAGGCAGGTTGAGGATTATGAAAGCATGAGCCATGATGGGCAGAGGTGGGGAATAGTTTATTTTAAGGAAAATTCTAAAGATACCATCCCAGCCTCCAAAATGAAAAAGGATAATCTTTTTTAAAAAGTGATTTTATCTCTAGGTCCCATCTGATCTAAGTAAAGGTCTTTCTTCGATCCCTGTACTCTCAAAGTCATCTTTTGCTCACCACCTATTGCACCCATGGAATTGGTCACTAGAATCAGTTGAAACAAAGGGCTCTCTTTGGTATCAAGTTGGCATTAAGGTGCCTGAGGTCAGGTTTGCAGAAGCCGATAGTTCCTGTCATGCTCTGGGGGATACTTCCAGAAAAGCCAGAGGCGGATAAAGCTGGTGAGGATTCCTGGAAGGTTGGGAACCTGAAATCAAAAGGCTGCTATGAAGATAGGAGCTAGTTTTCCACTTTGCAAACTGGTCATCCCATCCTATTCTGCTTACCATGATGTATGGATCTCTGAGTCGAAACCCGTAGCTGGACCAGGAGGCAGAGGCAAGGAGGGTGGCAATGGTGAGTGAGAAGGAGAGACGCTGAGTTGATTTACTCTGAATGATCTTGGCCTGTGGCAAAGATACTCCTGGTCCAGGTTCACAGCAATATTCTTGCCTAAGAATTTCCTCGGGAAAAAGGCCTTCCATCATCTGTTACCCACCCCTTCTCTCCTGCCTCCCACTCACCCACCTGTATGTACTGCCTTGTCTCCTTCCAGGAGTTGGACCTCTCCTCTGACTAAAGGACCCTGCCCATCTTATCTCCCCTACCTCCTGGCCACCCCCACTCACCAGGTCAGCCAGTGGTGAGAGGTACATGCTGATGGTAAAGACACTGCAGAAGAGGCCCAGCTGCTGAAGCTGGGCTTCAGGGTCCGGCACCAGAAGCCAAAAGTAGGCATAGCCCAGGAGAAGGGACCCTAGCAGGGCTGTAGTCTGTAGGAGCACAGCATGCTGCGAAGGAGAGGTGTCTTACACTCTCTGCTCTCTGCTGGAATACTTCACTTCATCCTGCCTTCTTTCATACTCCAATGGGGAAACCATTTCTTTTCTGTCTTTTTGAGACAGGGTCTCTCCGTAACCACAGCTGGCCTGAAACTCACAGTCTGGCCTTGCTCACTCTCACTCTCACAGAGATCTGCCTGCCTCTGCCTCCTGAGTACTAGGATTAAAGGTGAGTGCCACCAACTTTTATCCCAGCTTTATGCCAGTGTTTTTCACTACTCTTTGCACACAACACTTGAGGACGCCAGGGGACAGAAAAACATTTTTTTTTTTTCTTTTCGTTTTCACATACAGTAGGAGCCTAATAAATGTTTGTGTGACTGAGTGGGGAAGCAGAGCTAATAGTCATTCTTAGCCACTGGTCCTGGTCCTAAAGGAACTATCAGAGTCAATACAGCCCTTTCTCCTCAGCCTTTTGGAGGGAAGCACAGGGCTGCACTGACACTACCAGGTGAGGTGGACCACCAGCCTTGTCAACATTGGTGGAGGGGGGTTGTGTGTGAATCTTGCAGGGTTGGCTTCATGGAGAAAGGAGAACCAGAAGGCGGAAGGACCTTCTAGGAAAAGGAAGCAATACCATCCTGTTAGTCTTCCAGGAAATAGTGTTTACCCTGCCAACATGGCAAGGTGTCCAGCAGAGGTGGTGCAGGGGAGGGCCTCTACCTTCTGAGGACTGTAGTGCAGATAGGTCAGGATATACAGGGTCTGAAGCACAGCACCCACAGCATTGACGACGATGAGGGTCCCATCTCCCTTCAAGATGCCATAACTCAGCCACGCCAGGTTGCTGTAGGGGAGGGCCATGGAGCTGATGTAGCAGGGGATCCCCAGTGGCCTCATATGTTGTGCTCCTGTCCCTCTCCCGCCCCCCTCAGCCTTTCCCGCCACAGCCAACAGCATTCTCACTTGACATCCGTGGTGAGAAAAGGCAGAAACTGGATGCTGTCCACGCTCCGGGTCTTCTGCATGTGCCTGAGGTCCGAGCTGTAATGGGGACCCAAAGGGAGGAGTTAGGGGCGGGTGGGAGATACCCCAGTGCTTGTCACCTCCCCACAATAGCAGAACTCCTCTGGCCGAGGGACCAGACTTGCCCTAGCACCCCATTTCCCCCAAACCACTTTCATTCTGGATTCCAGACGCAGCCGGGGATCATGGCCACGTCTCTTGATCACTTTCTTGACTTCCTGGTCCTGCCCCAACCCAGTCTAGTTGCGCTCTCACAGGCCAGTGGAGAACATGCCCAGGGTGAAGAGTACGCAGGCTCCGGAAAGGAAAGAGTCGGCCACGGCGCCCGCCTCCATTCCCCAGGAGTGGAATCCCTAGCGCAGCGAAGAGCTCCGGCTAACTACGCTGAGTGCCGCCGACGCCGAGGCCCCGCCCCTGCGACCCGGCGCCGGAACCCGCCCTGTCTAGAACGCTGCACCGGAACTTGCCGGAACTCCGGCCTTGGCACCCAAATGCTGCTGGCGGGCTGGCAGCTTGTTGGGTCCTGAACTTGCCCCCTGGATTCCGCTGGGTGGTTTTTGTAGGGTGGCGCATTTGTCCTCCATACGGCTCCCCTTCACACTCTGCTCACCCTCTGGACCATCTAGACCTCGGTCCTTGTGAGGTAGAACTCAAATTCAAAATGTAGACCCACCCAGTCCTCAGCAAGCCCCTCATCCAGAGCTTCAGATTGGAACTTCAGATGTCCAGGTTTGGGAGGTTTCCCCTGGAAGTCACTGAAGCCTTTTCCCAAACTCTAAATAAATAACGGAGATTGCCATCTTCAGCTGCCCTCCCTTCTTAGCTACAAGGCCAACCTTATATGCCCTGCCTAGGCCACCGACAACCCAACCCCCTGATTACCCCCACCCCCACCCCCACTCCCGTTCCAACACACTCGCTGCTGGGAACTTTCCCTCCCAGCCTCCCACGCAACTCTGCTGGTGGGGCTGTGCACATGCTTCATCTGGCATCCAGCTTCCCTGACTCACCCAGACAGCATGAGTACCTGAACGCTTTGCCAAAGCCCAGCGTTGAGATGAGTGTGAGTGGGATAAAGGTTGGACAGGAAGAACTTCCAGAGTGGGGTGTGGAGAGGAACCCAGGAGACAACTACGGGGACCACTCCTGTACAACCCTCAGAAGGAAACACCCTACCCTTTGCATGTATTCCTTGGAGAAAAAAAGTAAACCAAATTGCTTCTTGTATGTTTATTTCAACCCTAGCCCATTTGTTTATTCACTTATTTTGTCCTCACTGTAGCTCAGGCTAGCTTTGAACTTGTGGCAACAGCCTCCTGAATGCTGCTATCACAAACGTGAGCCACTGTGCCTAGCTATTTTCTTTTTCCTGCTGGGGATTGAACCCAGGGCCTTGCATACATTGGGTAAACAGTGTACCACTAAGGTACATCCTCCGCCCTTTATTTTTGCTTTTGAAGCAAGGTCTCACTAAGTTGCCCAGGCTGATCTCAAATTTGCAATCTTCGCCACCTGAGCACCTGGGATTACAAGTGTACATCACACCAGCCCCAATAGATTCTGATGTAGCCTAGCACACAGTAGGGGCTCTGTGGTCATAAGTCAACATGGAGGCGTAAAAGGACATGTCAATAAAAACAAAAACATTGCTTTATTATGAGTCAAAGAACACTGTATAAAAAAACTCCAGTTGTAGAAATCAGCAGACATACAGCAAGTTCATATACAGATACTGTACATATGGGTCCCGCCCTTTAGGCTCCACTCTAGGCAGACTGTACACATGGGCACTGCCCTTATAGCTATACTCTAAAATCAGGTTGGTACAGTCTCCCTGCTGGCACAGCTCCAGAGAATGCTGCCCCAGGATGGTGAGAATGCAGTGCCTGGCTACAAACCTCTCTGGTGGCTCCACAGGTAGAAGTCTTGCAGAGATGCTGGGTCAGCCCAAGCATGCTGCCTCTCCTGTACCTGGCTCCCATGCAGGAAGCCGTCTTAAGCAGTCAGTTCATCTGGACATCTTGGCTCTCTCTGGGATGGGCACCTTTGCCAAGCTCAGTGTCTAACTGCATGACCTCAGCCCCTCTGGCTCATCTCCCACTGGGCCCTCTTAAGGGGGCCGGGTCTGCACAGCTTGTTTCTTTGGCTTAAAGGCAGGACTGGCAGGGAAAGAACCTTCCCCATTTCTTTCTCCATCCCTCTGAAGCAGAGACAGAGAATTCCTTTGGGTTGGAACCCTTAATACTGACCCATTCTGAGGCTTCGGGTGGCAGTTTGTGCATGTAGTAGGAGTGGTTCCCAGGGCTGGAGCAGTGGGACTGGCCCCAAGGGGGTACTTCAGGGGTGCTTGTCCCTGCCCTTTAGCCCATTTCCAATCCTTAAGCCAGGTGTGGCATACACCTTCACTGAGTTTGCAGCAGCAGCAGTGGCAGGAGCAGCACAGCCCAGACCAAGGGGAAGAGGCGGGGAGCAGCACTGTGACCAATGCTGTGTAGCACCTGCACCTCCGGGTCATCTGCAAGATGAAGGCAAAAGCCCCCAAGGTAAGTGGCCCCACTATTTCCACTGGCCCTTAGCCCAGCAGGATTTTCCCTGCCCCTGTATGGCAAAGGAGCCATCTCTAGTACCTGACCTCTTCAAACAAACCCCTTCCTGTGACCCAGGTGCACTGGGACCTACCTGCTAGAAGTCTCTTCTCCTGTGAATCTGCATGGGCCTGAGGACTGTGAGCTGAAAGATAACAGTGGTAGGAGATCAGGCATTGTACTTGGAGGCAGAAGGGCACAAGTGCTAATTTCCTTCCCATCATAGATCACTAGGCCAAGCTCAGGAAAAATGGAGGTCAATAGGGCCCGATACTCACTGATTTTGCCAATGACAGTAACCCTCAACTTCAAGCACTGGTTTTCTTGATGGTAGATTGGTTTAGCTGTAAAAAAAAAAAAATTCACAGGATGTTAAGGAAAGAACCTTTGTTGGAAGAAGATATAAGTTCAAATGTATCTGACAGCTTTCTCAACTCCCTGCTTTTTTAAAAAAATATATTTTATTTATTACCTTTATTTTTTTGTGTGTACGTGTGTATTGCCTGCATGTAGGTAAGTGCACCCATGTCATGCAATGAATGCCTGTGGAGGACAGAGGAGGCTGTTGGATCCCCTGGAACTGGAGTTACAGACAGTTGTTAGCTGCCTTGTGGGTGCTGGGATTCGAACCTGGGTCTTAGAGATGACACAGTAGTGAAGAGCACTGGCTGCTCTTTTTTTTGTTTTTTTGAGACAAGGTCTTCCTGTAGTCCCAGCTGCCTGGGACTCACTATGTAGGCCAGGTTGGCCTCAGTCTCGCAGAGATCTGCTTACTTCTGCCTCCCAAGTGATGAAACTAAAGGTGTGTACCACCATACTGGCTGCTCTTGCACAAGAGCGAAGTTCAGTCCCCAGCACCCACATTGTGGCTAACAACGGTCTGCAACTCCAGTTCCAGGGATGATTCTCTCTTCAGGCTTCTACAGGCACTACATGCACAAAACACTCATATGCATAAAAAGCTTTTCTCTCTTCTTTTTAAAAATATTTTATTTATTATTTTTATTTTATGTGTATGCGTATGCATGTATTGCCTGCATGTAGGTAAGTGCACCCATGTTGTGCAATGCCTGTGGAAGAGAGAAGAGGCTGTTGGATCCCCTGGAGCTGGAGTTATGGGCAGTTGTTAGCTGCCATGTGGGTGCTGGGATTCGAACCCGGGTCTTCTGCAAGAACAGTGTTCTTATCCCCTGAGCCATCTCTCCAGTCTCTCTTCTCCTTTCTTTACCTTTCTTCCTTCCTTTTTGTCTTTCTTTCTTGAACAGAATCTCACTATGTAGCCTGGGTTGGCCTGGAACTCACAGACATGTACCTGCCTGACTTCTGTGTGCTGAGATTAAAAGCAGGAGCCACCATGCCTGGCCTTTATCCTTTATTATTTTTTATTCTCTCTCTCTCTCTCTCTCTCTCTCCTCTCTCTCTCTCTCTCTCTCCCTCTCTCTCCCCTCCCCTCCCTCCCTCCCTCCCTATGAGTATGTGCATGTCATGGCACATATATGGAGGTTAGACCACAAATTTTGGGAGTCAGTTTCTGCCTTCTCCCTTGTTTTTCCTTTGTTTCTGCACTGCCTGTGTAATGCTAGCTGGCTGCCTATGAGTTTGCAACTGATTTTCCTGCCTCTTCCTCCCATCCTGATGCAGGAGTATTGGGATTACAGGTGTGTGCCACTGCATCCAGGTATTTATGTGGGTTGGGAAATGGAACACAGGTTGTCAGCCTTCCAGCAAGTACTTTTACCCATTGAGCCATTTTCCTGGCTCTTAACTTTGTTTTTTTTTTGGTCTTTTTGAGACAGGGTCTCCCTGTAGCCCCAGCTGTCCTGGAATTCACTATATAGACCAGGCTGGCCTTGAACTTACAGAGATCTGCCTGCCTCTGCCTCCTGAGTGCTGGGATTAAATGTTTTTTTATTTTATTTTATTTTATTTTTTGAGACAGGATCTCATGTAGCTCAGGCTGGCCTTGAACTTGCTATAGTTGGCCTTGAACTGCTGATCCTCCTATCTCCACATTCTGAGTGCTGAAATTATAGGCATGTACCACCACACTATCTTTTGAAATTTATATATTTAATATTTAAAAAATTACATTTATTTATTTATATTGTGTGTGAGAGTACACACATGCACACACATACCTCTGTATATGTGTGCTGCAGTGCATATGTGGAAGTCAGAGGATATTTTGTGGGAGTCAGTTCTCTCCTTCTGCTGTGTGGGAACTAGAGACGGGGCTCGGTAATCAGGCTTGGTGGCAAGGTGCCTTTTCGGCTTACATCATCTCACTGGCCCTGTTTGTTTTTGAGACAGGGGCTCACTATGTAGCTCAGACTGGCCTCGAACTATCGATTCTCTTGCTTTAGTTTCTCAAGTGCTAGAATTATAGGTATATGCCACCACATATGACTCTTCTCACTTTAATTCTTCTCTTTCCCTTAAACTTGATGTGTTATTAAAGACTTTATTATTTTATGTGTATGAGTGTTTTGTCTTCATGTATGTAAGTACACCACATGCATGCAGTGTCTGTAGAGGCCAGAAAAGGGCATTGTAGTCATTGGAACTGGAGTTACAGATGGCCGACAGCCACCTTGTGGATGCTAGGAACCAAACTCAGGTCCTCTGCAGGAGCAGCAAGTGTTTGCTCTTAACTGCAGAGTTATCTTTATATCCTCCTTAAACTTGATTTAATTTTTTTCCATTTTTTATTTATATAATCTTTTTAGGCACAGTCTTATTTTAGCCCAGGCTGACCTGGAACTCACTCTGTAGCTCAGGCTGACCTTGACTGCACATTGATCATTTTACCTCAGCCTCCTGAATACTGGGATTATAGGTATGAGCCATCATGTGTAGCCTGACCTAGGTATTTACCTTCAGTTTTTGCCTACTTCCTGCCCAGTGTTCAGCCCAGTCTCTCATTCTTTGGAACAGTTCTCTGCTTCTTCAGCAGTAGTGACAGGAACACAGAAAATGTCCTCTCCATCATTCCATTTTTCACTCCTAGCCTGAAGTTGGGTGAAGCTTTTACAATATATTTCCCTTTACCTGGGTCATTTTATACCCTCCTTGCCTAGACCCCACCAAAAGAGCAAGTCCTGAACCTTGTGACTCTTAGGATTCATAGTGGGTTCCACTGCCCTAAAAATAAAGTCCAAACTCATAACAGTGTTTGGGTCCCTAGAATTTGTCCTATCCACTTTCCAAGCCTCTCTCTTATTTCCTATATGCCTCCTACTCCAGGAGTTCCTGGAGTGGTCATGATCCCTTTGTAACAAGTTAATTCCTCCACTTCTAAGCAGTGCTGTCATTTCCCTGCTCAGTCTTTTCTGTGTCTTCTACCTTGGCAGATGCACAGGTCATTTTCCTAAGTCCCCTGTATCGATGTCTATCATTGACATCTATCACTGTTCTACTGGCCTGCTTGACCCGTATAGCTTCCTTCCAGCTTCCTTGAGGACAGGAGCTAGAAGTGTTTTATTTATCTTTGTGCCTAAAGTGCCAAACAGAGTGCCTAGGACACAGATGAAGCTCATGCCACGTTTGTGATATGAGTGAGATAAAATTGAATTTAAACTTAGGAGGGCCCTGTGCTACTTGACTCCTCACTAAGCATACACCCAGGCATATGCTGCTGTGCGACCAGTTTGTACACTTTGGCCTATCTCCCATGTACTCACAGATGTAGTAGTAGCTTTGTCCTTCCTTGAATTCCTTGCCCAAGGTGAAAGGTGTAAAGCGCTGGAACTTCTCAGATAGCTTCTCTGGGCCATGCTTGGCACTGGGCTGGTTGCACTTCCAGCGGACCTGGTCCTGGGACTGGGGCTGGCATACCACATACTCTGGGTGCTCCACCATGTACAGTGTGTACCGCTCCATGGCAGCATCTGCTACAGAGTCATCCTCGTAATGGGGACAGATAATGTCTAGGTAGTCATTCAGCCTCACATGTACCGTGAAGTCCTCATCTCGGAACCTGGGCCCATGCAGAGGAGGAAGGAGGTCACTCCAAAGCCATGTCAGAACCTTGAGCTTCCAGTGGTTACATCATCTCTCACATTTCACATTGGGTCCACAAAGATTTTTCCAAAATCTCAGCTCCCAGTGTTTATTAATCTTGATTTCTTACATCTCTTACATCACCACCTTCAAACATTCCCTCACTCCTCATCCTCCAAACAGCATCCACTCAGTATGTCTCAGGTACCAAAGCACTTTCCAGAACACCCCAGGTATCCGCCCGAGGATGAGCTTCTACATATTTCTGTAGCTCACTCATTCTATTCTACTGATAAACATGTCCCCAAATTTATTCTACCAGCTGCTCCCCTAAATGCCAGTAAACCTCATCTGGGCCATTCTGTATCCAGGCTCCAAGGAACCCTTTCTCTTTACCATGCTGCTGAGCCCCTCCCCATACATCTATATCTTCGCTTATCTTACCCTCTCATGCCCCTCACACTGAGTCTCTCTCATATTTCCCAACTTACTAGGCACCCCCAAGCCCTAGTCCAAACCCAGGCCTATAGGTAGTCCTTTAAACCAACCCTTTCTCACTTCACTCAAATCTCCCTTTCTTGTCATTCAAATTTATGCCCTGGATGCCATATACCATTTCCCAGAGCACCGCCAAACATTTCTGTCTCTTTATCTCCAGAAGAGGTCACAATTCCACCTTCCCCTAATGAAAGCTGCAGTTTTTAAAACTGGAGACTGCTTCTGCCCTGGGTTCGTTCCCAGGTGGGGCCAGCTTTCCCACCCGCCCCGCGCCCATCCCTGCAGGCTCCAGCCTGACTGCCCACCAGCCCCTCCCCCTTAGCTCCAGACACCTGGCTCCAGGCTGGAAGGGGTCCTGGTAGGGGGAAAGTGCCTACCCCTCCAGCTCAAAGTTGCTCAGCTTCTCTGAATTCCCCCAAGGACTGCCAGTGAGAGGCTTAGCAGAGCTGGCTGCCAATTTACTTTAAATCCAAACCCCTGGCATGGGTGGCATGTGTGGTGTTGGTGGTGGGGTTCCAAGGTGGCCACCCGCTGCCCAGTCATAACCCCATGGAGGCTGGGCCTTGCAACAGCTTGCAGCTTCTAGAACTAGGCTTTCCAGGCCCCTCCCCCACCCTGGGGAAAAGAGGAGCCGAGGGAGGCTTTTAAAATTCCTCTCTGGAGAGATAAACATAGAAGCCATTTCAGAACAGGTATTTCAGCTCTGGGCCTGGCGTCTTTCCCCCATTCCCCGTGATGGGCACTGACTCATGCCTCATCCACCTCTGCTACCTGCCCAGGCACTCATAAGAACCTGAGAAAATTTACCTTGTCAAATTTGGGCAGCCCCCAGGACCCCAGGCTAAGCCAGCACTGGTTTTTCTCTAGTGCTGGCCTCCAAGGCAAAGGGAGCTGGGAGATCTGAACAGACAGGATACCTGCCTCTCCAACCCAGTTTACAGTGGCAGAGCCCTTCTCGGACTCTGTCTTTGCTGGAGGCCTGGAGATCCCAGGGCTGATGCCCACTGCCCTGAGTCACCCATGCCAACCCGCCCTGTTTTTTGCCACCTCATCTCTGCCCCCAAGCTGGGCCCAGCTAGTCTGTCCACAAACTCCACTCTAGACTGGCTTTCCTGTAGTTATGAATAAAGCTCTGTGTGTGTGTGTGTGTCCAGAGGGACAGGCAGAAGCCGTACTTGGGTATACTTCTAAGGGTTCTGTCCCCTCCACTTAGTCTGCCTTTGACACTTGCTTTCCATCTGGAAAAGGGGGCCACAATAAGGCAGTGAGCGGTAAGGAAGAGGCTATTTCCTGAAAGAGAGGAAACCTGGGAGCTTGGGAACGGAAAAGGCCCGAGTTTCCCCCTCCCTACTCGTGGCTTCCTGTCCCTTCCTCCTTCAGCCAACACCTGGCATGGGGCATAAACAGGGACTTTGGTCTTTCCCAGTACTCGGACAGGACTAGGTCAGGGAGGCACGGGGCAGGCTCAAGGAGTGATGAGCCAGAGGACTGGCTGGGCCAGAAGGGCATTGCCTTTTGGAGTTGGCAGCTGCGTTTATCCTGTCGTCCCCCCTCCCCCCAACATGCCCCAAACAACAGACTCCTCAACAGGCAATGCCACAAGGCCAGAGGAAACTGACACAAAGTATTTCTCGAGGGGAGTAGGAGGCAGACACTAGAGCTGGGAGTGGCTTAGTGGTGTTTTATACCCCCCAGCTGCCAGGCCTTCCTCTTTGCTCCACCTTATGTCCCTCTCATGCTTCCCCCAAAATATTGTTTCCATAACTTGAGAAAACACAAGGGCAAGAACAAAGGGGCTGACAGACTGTCTTCCTTCCAGTACCATTTGCCTCCTAGCCCTAAAACCTGCCCAGGAGAAATTAACTCCTTCCTGTTAGGGCCTTTGTAACCCTTTGAATCCCCAGTGTCCCTCTCAGTGACCCTCTCTCTCCAGTTCTTCAGTGTTACCACCTCAGCCTCATAAACAGGCCACTCCCTCGGCCTACCCATGCACAGCATGTGTCTAATTTATGCCACCTCCTAAAAAAAAATACTTAGGGGGACCCAAATACGGAATGAATACCCAAAGCCTAGATCCCCACTGGGGGTCCAGGGTTCCACTGAGCACTCTGCTTACTATTGATGGCAAGAGGTGCCTGTCAGTATAAGTAAATAACCCAAGTGGAACACAAGGAGAGGGGCACAGAAGTTTCAGGGGGGCAGGAGCTTGAACAGCCTTGTAGGTCAGGGCCAGTAGTCTAGGCTCAGGGCAGGAACGCCCAAGCATGGGTTTCGTACTTTAGAGCGACTGGATGCTAGAGACAGGCATGAGCAGGTTCCTGCCGCGGTGAGATGCTGCCAGTTACTAGGGAGAGGTAGGAAAAGCTACAGAATCCTTCCCATCCCTGGCCACCTCTCCTAGGTTCAGGGAAGGAGCTGGCTGGGACAGTTACCCTGGGGAAGGGCATTGCCAATCCCACGCCCAGGCTGCCAGCCGGGATCTCGGGGCTTACTTGGGATTTGAACTGTTCCAGAAGACGGTGTGGCGGTCAGCAGCGGCCAGACTGCAGCACAGACCTAAGAGAGGGGCCCAAAGGAACTCCATAGCGCAGGGCCGGGCTAGGCCAGGCCGGGACGAGGGACTCCTCCGGGTCTGGTTCCTGCTGGCTTCTCCGCGGCACAGCCGGCACCGCGATCACAGCTCTGGCCTCTTTGCTGCTCGGCTCCGCCTTTTGGGCCGGCGCCGCCCGACACCTGCCCCGCCCCCGCCCCGCCCGGCGCGCGGCTGCCCCAGGGCTTGGGGGCTGGGGAGGTGGAGGAGGGGAGGCGGCGCACCGGAGAAGGGAGGTGCGAAAGGGACCCAGCGCGCGCCTGGGTCCCCACAGATCGCCCCAGAGCTGTGTGTTGGCTCACTTGGGGGTGGGGTGCGTGAGGCTCTGTGGGACTGGGGGCAGTCGCCAGCAGAAAAAAACTCACACGCATGGGTCTAGGAAGCGGGCGCAGGTCTGGCCCTGGTGTGAGGTTGTGGACTTGCCCACACCTCTCCAGAGATTCACACCCAGGCTCGCGCGGCCGCCTTCCCACACTCTCCGCCGACCCCCCCATTCCCGGACTCTGCGCTTGACAGCCCCTCCCCACACACGCGGCTGTTTGTTTTTGTTGGGTTTGTCAATGTTGTCTTTGTTCAAGAGATTGTGTCATCGCTTAGATGCCGGGAATAAAGTGCGACGCTGTGTGTGATCAAGTGTGTAAAGACTGCGGCCGGGCTAGGGGCAACCTCTGTCCATCAGTGCTTTGCGCGAGAGGAACACGCGGGACCCTTGGGCTACCGAGGGGGTCTGTTCTTAATTTTTCATTCGTACCGAAGCACACTAATGACCAGTTTGTGTGCCCCGTGTGTATCAAGCGAATGGGCTCTTGCATATGGACTGTGGGATGGGCACGAGGGTGACAAACTGTAACCAACACATGTACATATGGCGTGTGTAAATGAGTGTGATGGCGGGCAAATGTGAAGACATTTGTGAGTAATATCACAGCCGCGTGTGTGGAAGCGTGTGAAACTCGTTGACAGACGTATGCTAATGTTTGTGAACTGTGTGTGAAGAGGAGGAACGTGTTTGGACGTGCAGCGGGGGTGAGTTTGTGCGGCTGTGTTTGGCTCAGTCGGACTTGGGTCCTCCGGTCGGCTGGACATCGGTACCCAGCGGAGTCTGGGGCTCGGATCCCCTCCCCCGCTCCTTGTAAACAGACTTGCAGGAATTCACCTCTCCAGGCTCTACTCGCAGCCCGGATCTGCTGCGTCTGGGGAGGGGTTGGCGGCGGGAGTCTACTCCTGTGCTGGAGTGGGCGGGCAGGTGTTTGATTAGGTTCGAGTGCGTTCCTGGAGCTGGAGAGCCGAGAGCTGCGTGCTCTGTAGTTTGTGCGTGTGGCGGTGTGCACCGCCCGGTTTGCAGGGGTGTGTGTGCGCGTCCCCAGCCGCCCTTCCTTGCGGCTGCGCATCAGGGCAAGGCGCGGACCCGGGGCCCTTTGCCGGCTCCTGACCAGCTTCCTGGGTTCCCAGGCCGTTTCATCCTGGTTTTTTTACGGCCTGGCCTGGCAGTGGACCCTATAATTACGTGGGGCCCGGACGCCGCAGCAAGTCCAGCGCTGACCCTGCTGGGACGGAGCCTGGAAGAGCAGGGCTCTGGCCGGCCTCGCCTCCCGAGGGAGGTGGGCCCTGCTCGACGCGCTCACCATAAATATTTACTGAGTACCAACTAGGTGGGGCGCCCGATGACCCCACGGCTGGGTCAGGGTCGGACTTTGCACACAGACACCTGGGTGCACACCTGCCCTACGTGACTTGCCCAAGCCCTACGCAGATTTGAGGTGCGGCCCGCCGCTCCCGTTGGGTCGAAGTTTATTCCCCGACAGCCCCAGGGCGGCACCTCACGCGCTTTTTGCTCACCTGGGGGAACACCTTGGGTAGGTCTCCCTCGTGCCCTGTGGTGAGAGCGCACCATCTCAGCTCACGTGCTTCGTGGAATCGAAGCTTCATGATGGCAGGGATTTTGTTTTGTTTTCTGCCGTGCTGCCGGCGCCTGGCACAGCACTCAGCGTCTACAGTAGATGATCAGGGTTTGTTGAGTGACATCACTCACAAGTCGGTCAAGGTGTAGACTTGTGGCTGTTCTGAAAAGAAACACTCAGAGGGGTTAGAGAGGCGTGGTGGTGGTACATCTTTAGTGAAGACAGTTGTAGATAGGCCCTGGAGGAGAAGGCTTTGGGCGGGATTACCTCGCTTGTCTGCCACTGGGCCAGTACTTGTAGGGTCCCGCGCTGCACCAAGCAGGTTCAGGCTCCCTGGGCTCAGCCTGGCGGGGGCCATGTCCACTCGCGCCCTGCCTGGCTGGAGCGAGCTTGGGTGAAGGTGGCGGAAACCTAGGGCACGAGTGGAACGCGGAGCCCCTGGTTTGGCACTGTCTCCAGCAATTTCACTTTAGGCCTTGATCCTGTCCATGCTTTTGCGCTTTTAGAGTTAACCCAGTCTTGCTAGACCATTCCTTGATGCTGGATAAAGCACAAGAAAGAGACTCAGATAAAGTCGTACCCTCCCGCAATCAGTAAAGGACTTATGTTTGGGCATGTTTTTCTGGAATTGAGTGGTAGAGGAAATAACCCATCCCAAACGACAAACCTACTAAGGGCTATAACTTAGACCCTCAACACATTTTCGCACGGCCCTAACGCCTCCAGGAGCCGTTGCGCCGCCTGGTGGACTCAGAGAGGATCACGCAGTGAGATGCCGAAAGGGACAAAAGAACAGATGTCAAATCTCCGCCCCTGGGCATCCCTGCCCCTAGCCTGCTCCGGCCTGTCTGATCTCGATTCTTGTCTTGGGCTACCTCTCTCCCCAAAGTTGTCTCTGTTTAGGAAATCCCCTCTGTGAGTCCTTTCTGGGAATTCTTGAGGGGTAGAGTTATCTTTGAGTGTGCTGGAGAAGTGGGGAACGGCCACTGCCCACCCTCAGGCAACATTTCCAGACTGGAACTACTCAGCTGGTAGGTGTGGCCCTTCAGTGTGGGGAAGGCCAGAGCCGCGGGGTGCTCGGGCACGACTAGCCTAGCTTAGCCCCACAGGGCATCTATGAGCACTTGAGTGAGGCAGTGGCAGAGTGGGCCCTGAACCTGGTGCCTCCTCTGCCCCGCTGTCTGTTATTTTGAAAACTAAAGTGCAATATTTCTCACTCTCCTAGTAATGTGTGCAAATTTTTCAAAGATTGGAAGATAAAGGGAGGATCCAGTCTTTCGTTTATGAGATTTGTTTTGTTTTGTTTTGAGACAAGGTTTCATTAGGTAACCCTGGCTGACTTGGAACTCATTATATAGACCAGGCTGGCTTGGAACTCATCTAGATGCCCTCCCTCTGCCTCCAGAGCGCTGAGATTAAAAGCATGCACCACCATACCTGTTATTTATTTTGATAGAATTATAAATATGATTCATTTCTATTGGGACTGTGATGATTAATACTGATTGTCAGCCTGACAGGATCTAGAATCACCTAGAACACAAACTTCTGTGTTTGGGTTGGGTTAGCTTCTCTAAATGTGAGTGACACCATTGCATGGGTTGGGGTCCTGGATTGAATAAAAAGGAAAAAGTGAACTGAACAAGAGTGTTCCTCTTTCTCAGCTTCCTGACTATAGATGTAATGTGACCAGCTGCCTCATGCCTGCTTTCAAGCCTTGCCTGCCATAATGTATTGTACTGGAAAACTGTGAGCTAAAAATAAACTTTTCAGCCGGGCGTGGTGTCGCACGCCTGTAGTCCCAGTACTTGGGAGTCAGAGGCAGGTGGATCTCTCTGAGTTCAAGTCCAGCCCGGTCTACATAGTGAGTTCCAGGACAGCTGGGGCTACAGGGAGACCCTGCTTCAAAAAGACAAAAAATAAATAAGTAAACTTTTCCTTAAGTTTCTATTATCAGATGTTTTGTCATAGCAATGAGAAAAGTAACTAATACAGGGACCTTCCCCTTTAATTCTACAACAGAATAACATTCCTGCCATACACACACAGACACACACACATTATACATGATTTAGTGCTGGGGATGAGATGTGCCTATATCATGCTAAGCATGAGTTTTCCCTTCCATGGGGCTATACACTAGTCCTGTAATTGCTTTACTTTTCAAAGTTAGGACCTTATGCATTGGAGACAAAACCTCTAACACTGACCTACCTCCTTAACCTGCAAGAATGAGACAGAGTCTTACTATGTTGTCCAGGCTGACCTTGAGCTCATGAACTTGCCTCTTTGCATCAGCCTCCCAAGTTTTGGAGTTATAGGCAAGTGTCACCACACTCGACTGCCATAAAAGCTTTTGATTTTTTTTTTTCTTTTTGAGACAGGGTCTCCCTGTAACCTCAACTGACCTGGAACTCATTATGTAGACCAGGCTGGCCTTGATCTCACAGAGATTTACCTGTCTCTGCCTCCCAAATGCTGGGGTCAAATGTGTGCCATCACACCTGGCTGCAAAAAAATGTTTAACATTGCTAAACCAAAGCTAAATCTTTTGGCTACTAGTTCAATTATCTTACTAAGAATCAAAGCCAACAGTGCCTCGCTGCCTCCTACCCAGGTGAAGGCCAGACTCTGGGGTTTGGTGTAATTCCTCCTTGAATCAATAGGGATTGGGAGCAGGTTGGGAAGGGTGATAAAGAGGAAAGAGATGGGAGAGGGAAATGCTAAGAATAAGACAATGAATTCTTCACAGAAACCACTGGAAGGAGACATATACTACCTCTTTGTTTAAAAAATATTTATTTATTTATGGGGCTGGAGAGATGGCTCAGCAGTTAAGAACACTGGTTGTTTTTACAGAAGACCTGGGTTCGAATTCCAGCACCCACATGGCAGCTTACAACTGTCCATAACTCCAGTTCCAGGGGATCCGACAGCCTCTTCTGTCCTCCACGGGCATTGCACGACATGGGTGCACTTACTTACATGCAGGCAATATACACAGACACAAAAAATAAAAATAATAAATAAAATATTAAAAAATATGTTGTGCAATGCCCGAGGAGGTCAGAAGATCAGAAGAAAGCATTGGATCCCCCGAAACTGGAGTTACAGATGGTTGTTAGCCACCATGTGGGTGCTGGGAATCAAACCCAGTTCCTCTATAAGAGCCAGTACTCTTAACCGCTGAGCCATCTCTCCAGTCCTATATACTGCCTCTTAAATCAAAAGTGTATTAAT